TCCCATTCATAGGAAAGGAACCTTTGCGACCATATCACCTGTGAAAGCTCCCCTTCTCAATGCAGCATATCAGCCATTTATTTTAATAGCACAGTTTGCAGGCTAGGGGATACATTTAAGGCATAACAATAGGAAAACCAGATTGCACTTAGCATTTACTTATTTAAAAAAGGCAATTCTAGGGTATGTCCGTCTAAGCATGTAGTAAACCCCATCTCAGCTATATGGAGAAATGACTTCTGGGTGACTTGCTCTCCACAGAATTCCCTAGTACCTGGAACATTTTGTGCTCCCAAGGCACTCAAGTCAAGAATAACTGTTTTGAACCTGTGGTTAAAAACATTATATTTATTATGGGATTATGAGATGTTAAAATTCATCATATATTAAAGTGAGATGACACTATGCTGATTATATTTGCCAAGTCAGGAAAACAGAAAAATGTGTGTGTGTGTGCGCATATGCACGAGTATGTGTATATATGTATGCATGTATGTTTTGCTTTTCTTTTCCTTTAAATTTCCCTAAACCAGTTTCTCTTTCCTTTTGAAGTTTCTTCCCATTTTATAATATCTACTGTACATTTTTACATTTACTCTTTCCATTTCTCCTTCTAGGGAGGCAATGAGATGTTTACACATTTGCATGTTTTAGGCTGACTTAATGATGAGTTTTTTTTCTGAGCTATAAAGATCTTAAAAGCAGACATTTAAAAATATTTTAAATTAAACCATAACCGAAAAGATCAGTTTCATTTAAAACACCAGAAAGAGAAAGAGGAAATGAAGACACAATGACATAAATATGAATTGTTTCCAGAATAAATCAAGTGTTTTCATTTGACAGATACACCAGAGACACTTCTTTGGCTAAATTAAATTAGTAACATTTCAGTTGTTCTAGATGTTGAAAAAATAAGATGTGTAAATTAATAGGAAACACTCATTGTATTGACGGGATTCATTTGTGGGACCTGTGACTTGTTTGTTTAAAGTAAGCCATATTATAAGCTTGCTTTGAAGCAAATTTTTGTAACTCCTGAGGAATTAAGTAGTGGTTGGGTTGCTTTTTGGCTTAGTATTAAAGAGATTTGTTAATACAGTGTTGCCTCCATCACTGTGTCTTGTGCATAGCTCATCTTGAATTACTTTTGAGCCAGTTTTTTTTTTTTTTTTTTTTTTTTTTTTTTTTTTGCTGCTGGAACATACTAAACATACACAATTTAAAGGAGAAAAGGATTCCTTTATCTTATGGTATCAGAAGTTTTGGTTTAGTCAGTTGGTTCCAAGGCAGAAACATCCTGGTGGAAGGGCATGGTGAAGGAGAGCTGATTACCTCCTGGTAAACAAGACTAAAAGCACAGGAGAAGAGCCAGAGGAAGGGGCTAAGGACCAGACATAGTTCCTAATGTCATACCCCTATGATCCACCCAGAGGCACCCTGAAGGGTGTTTTACTAGTCTCCTGGACATCTTTTAAGCCGTTGTAGTTATAATCATAATTAACAGTGGTACCAGACAAACAAAAGATGAGACCATTTAGCACTACCAGACCTTTCCTGAAAGAAATGCTAAAGAGAGTTCTTTGAACTCAAAGAAAGGGGAGTTAACAAATAAGAAAACATTCACAAGTAGAAAACTCATTGGTGCTACAGATTCATAGAGCTCTAATATTATAAACATGGCATATGAACCATAGAGATGCATTTATATCTTTAGTATTAAAACTAAAGACAATATAAAAATCCTAATTACATTCATATGATATGAGATAGACAATATGAAAAGATGGGACATGGGATATCAAAATGTGGGGATGAATAGGGTGGAAATTTATAATGTTTTATTAGTTTTTTTCTCTTCTTTTTTTTGTTTTGATCATTGTCCACTTTTGGTGTCAGGATAATGTTGGCCTCTTAAATTGAACTTGGATATCTCTTTAATTCTTTGGGAGAGTTTGAGGAAGTTGGTGTTAATTTTTCTTTAACTGTTTGACAGACTTCCCCAATGGAAGGCATCTGGTTTTGGACTTCCTTTGTTGGAAATTTTTGAATGCTGTTTAATGTGTTTAATAATTGTAGGTCTGTTCATATATTTTGTTTTTCTTCATGATTCATTCTTGGCAGATTATGTTTCTGGAGTTCGTTTAAGTTAGCTAATTTGTTGTATAATAGTGTGTAATATATAATGGTTGTTTTTAATAGTCTAATCATTTTGTTTTTGTGACATCAATTATAATGTCCGTTTTTTATTTCTTATTTTAGTTATTTGAGTTTTCTCTTTTTTTCTTAGTCCTGCTAAGAATAAAACCCTTTTGTATTGATTTTTTTTTTTTTTTTTTGTGCTACCGGGGATTGAACTCAGGACGCTGTGCTTGCCAGGCAAGCGCTTATTCTACTGAGCTATTTCCCTGGCCACTTGTATTGATTTTTTTCCTTGTATTTTATCTTTCTTCTGCTTTTCCCCTTTAATCTTTATTATTTCCTTTCTTCTGCTATTTTTATTTTGTTCTTTTTTTTCTGGTTCACTGAGATTTTATTTTTACGTGTTTACTTCTGTACTCTTGCCTCTGTACAGTGTTAGCTGTGTCTCATAAACTTTGGTATGTTTTGTTTTTACTTTTGTCTTGAATTAAAATAATTTCTTTGTGATTTCTTCTTGATTATTTTGTTAAGAATGAGTTATTTCTATTTTATCTATTTGTAGATTTTTGTGTTTTCTTCCTGGTATTGATTTCTGGTTTCATTCTGTTGAGGTTGGAGAAGATACTTTGTATGATTGCAGTCTTCTTGAATTTGCTGAGACTTGTCCTATAGCCTAAAATGTTATTTATCTTAGCAAATGTTCCATGTATTGTTGAGAAGAAAGTGTATTGCACTGTTGTTGAAGATTATATTTTTACTCTTACTCTTGGTTATTTCATATTTTCTTTGGGCATAATTTCTTTTTAGCATGAAGGTTTTTTTTTTTTAGCTATTTATCGTTGTGAAGGTTTGAACACAGCAAACTGTCTCACCTGTTTTGTTTGGTAAGTTCTTAAAATTTGATTCTTGAGGAATTTTCCATTGGCTTTATTAATATTTTAGGTGGATTGTTTCTTTTGATACTTTAAGGATGTCATTGTTTAGCATCTGACAAAACATCATATTCATGATTATTTTTTGTTCTTGTATAATAGGTCTTTCTTGTAACTTATAGTGTTCTTCCTCACTGTTGTTCTGTATTTTGATTATAATGTATCTTGTTTTGTTTTATGTTTTTTCTGTCTTCCTCCCACCTCTTCGTTTGCCTTTTCAGGTTTGTTGAATTGTTGCATCTCTTAGTTTATTGTTTTCATAAAATTTGGAAAATATTTGACTTCTCATCTTCCTTTCCTCCCTTTCCAGGCCCTGTATGTTCATCTGTTTTTCTTTCTTTTTCATTTGGAACTCAGGCTTTTTTTTTTTTTTTTTCCTTTTAAACTTATTCTTTCAAATGGTTCATCTTTTCTGCTGCATTGTCCAGGCTACTTTTAATCCTATCCAATGACAATTTTATTTATGATATCTTATTTCTTTCTTTAATTTCCATTTAAGTTACCCCTTTTTTCCATTTACTTCATCATCTCGGAGTGCATGGATCATATTAATAATATCTTTTAATTTCATTTTACTGATAAAACAGAAAAAAGGTTCTCATGTATTATTTGTGTGAGACTAAATTAGTAGAAACCCTACTGAAGCAATTTGCTAATATCTATTAGTACAGTAATCTACCCTTATCTATGGGTCATGCATTTCAGGACCTCCAGGGAATGTATGAAACTGTGAACCCTATGTATATTGTGTTTTTCCTGTACATATACACTTACAGCAAAGTTTATTTATAATGTACAGTGAAAGATGAACAACAATAAAATTAGAACAATTATAGCAACTGACAATAATAAAAATGTTTTTTCTCAAAATATCTCATTGTACTTTCATCTTTTCACTTAAAGGAAGAACTTTGGGTTATCTAAATCAACAGCATAAGGGGCCGGGGAGATAGCTCAGTAGAATAAGCGCTTCCCTGGCAAGCGCAAGGGACTGAGTTCAATCCCCGGTTCCGCAAAAAAAAAAAAAAGTATTTCAATTAAATCAACAGCATTACTACTGTTATGGTTTAGGGCTATTATTTAGTAAAATACAGGTTTCTTGTCACAGATGATCTATAACCCAGATGGCTATTATGTGATAAATGGGCTGGGAGCATATACAGTGTGTATACACTGGCCAGAGGGATGACTCACATTCTGCCAGGGATGGAATCAGATTCTTCATGTTACGCAGAGAAGTGTGCAGCTAAAAGTTTGTGGGGCTGGGAGCCTAGCTCAGTGACACAGCTCCTGCTTGGCAAGTGCAAGGTCCTGAGTTTGATTCCTGGTTCAGAAAAACCAAATCAAACCAAACCAAGACTCATGGATTGTTTATTTTTGGAATTTTCCGTTTAATATCTTTGGACTCCTGTTAACCTTAGGTAACTGGAACTATAGAAAACAAAAAAAAGAGAGTACAGTTTAGAATTAAAACAGAAAAAATATCGATGATACAAAATTTCATTAAAAATATGAAAAAAAAGAAAACAAAATGATAAGGGTAGACTATTGAATATATATTTGTATAACACAGTAATACTAGATACAATATACCATATTGTAATATGACTTTTATAATTACTATATATTTATGAATGATTTTATGGTAGCTATACTGTAACTATAACTATATAAGTGTATGTATAAATGCTATCTCAAAAGGAGAACTAAGACTGTATATATTTGAATGAAAGATACATAAGCTAATAAAAGATTATTTTAGGGAGTGTTGCTGGACACATGAGTAACTGGGCTTTCACGAGACCAAGTATATACAAGTACATACCTTTGTATATCATTTGATGTTTGAACTCTCTGACTATATTGCATTTTAAAAGTGAAATTTTTGTGAGATCATAAGGAATATATTTCTTTTTTTCTTATTAGTAAGCTAAAGAAGCTGAGTGAAGACAGTTTGACTAAGCAGCCTGAAGAAGTTTTTGATGTCTTAGAGAAGCTTGGAGAAGGGTAAGTACAAGAAATATGAAATAATGACAACTATGGAACAACTAGTCTTTCAACTAGAGTATTTGTTTGAATTGAATAAAAAATGAAGTAAATTTGGCAAATAATAATGGAATTTAAAGATTGGTTTTTTAAAAAATTCTTTTTGACCAATTTTGTATGCTTATATCTGATAATCTGAACAACTGATTTGAAGACAACACTATACACTATAACAACCACTGTTGAATTCCTATCGTTTTTAGTGAAATTTTGTATTGTTTCTTTTTTTTAAACTATTTTTTTTTCTCTTCTTTAAAAAAATGAAAACTTACATTATCCTGTTTTGAATAACAGTATCTTTCTGTGTGTGCATATACCAAAAACTGCTATCAGATGGTTTCTAAGTGGTTTGTTAGCTTGTCCTGTATGGCAGACTTAGAATTTGCTGGTCAACTTTTGGGTCAACTTTTAGCATCTTGTCTTACTTGGGAAAGGGTAAGTAGGAGGTGTGAGTTGAATATCTTAATGAGAAAATCAGTATGTATAGGCACAGGAATACTTAACATGTTTTCAGAATAATAGTAAATAAACTTTCATTTGAGCACAGAGAAGGGTAGGGAGTAGTTAATGAAATGACAAAATGTGTAAAGACTTACAAAATGACAAGAAACAACTTAAATTAGCAAGACGAGGGAAAAGGAAATAGGGAGTAACATGTAAAATAATAAGTTAAATATAAAATGAGAGGAAGAAAAATGAAGTATATTTTTTACTAAATGTTCACTTTCACATTAAAACACCAACTGTTAGAGAAAATATAAAATGTAAAACATTTTGCTTTTGTGAAACTCATGTAAAACAAAAAAAATTGGAATTATAAGGTTATTTCTTAGAAAAAAATCATACAAAAGCAACGAACATACAAACAAAAATAGGGATTTGATTTGGAACTGTCTCATTGCTATATGTTTATCAATAAAACTTTGAAAAGAACAAAAAAAAATAGGAAAGCAGGAATAATAATGTTTATATTAAACAGGTTAAAGATCATAGGACCCACCTGAATGAAGAAGGACATTAGGCAATAAAATATGACAAAAATATTATAAGACATTTGTGTCACAAAACATGGCAGCCAAATTTATTTATTCATTTATTTTTTTTATGTATTTAGTACAGAATTTACAGGGTCTACAGGGTCTCACTACCTAGATTGGACTCATAGTGAATCTCCTGTTTTCAGCTTCCTAAGTAGTGGGATTAAGGCTCACACCATCACACCCAGTCTTAATCACTGTCTCAGTGTGCCTCTGGGGGCGGGGCTGGCATGGCATGCTGGTGGTCGAATCCTGGCCGCTGCGCTCTGCTTAAGCAGGCGCTTTAGTCTGTTGAACTATCTGGCCGGCCAATGGCAGCCAAATTTATAATGAAAAAACTATTAGTAATGTCAAGGAAATTTAATAAAAGCCTAACTGTGTGAGATATTTCAATTTATCTCTTTCAGAATTGGGCAGATATAATTGAAAAGAGGACATAGAATAAACATCAATAAATTTGATTATACAAATACACATATAAAGTATATGCCTGTGGTTTTTTTTTTGTTTTTATTTTTTATTTATTTATTTTTTTTTGCAGAACTGTGGGTTGAACTCAGGCCCTTGTGCTTGCCAGGCAAGCATTTATTCTACTGAGCCATCTCCCCGGCCCCATGCCTGTGTTTTTATAACTATATATATTCTTGCATTTCTCCTTTTTATATTTATGGACATAGAAAAATGACAAGTTATAAAAATAGTATTTTATACATTACATTTCTGATTATAGTCTACTAAATTAGACATAATTACAAAGTGACAAGCACTCATATTAATTGGAAATTATGGAACATAATCTGAGGTCTCTTGTTGATTGTATTAGCAGAGCTAGTTAGGTGAAGTTTTAAGTTCTTCTCATACTCATGAAGAAGGGCAAAAAACCCAAACCAAAACAAAATAATAGCTGGGTACCTGTGGCACCCACCTGTAATCTCAGCACTTGGAAGGCTTAGTCAGGAGATGCATGAGTTCAAGGCCAGCCTGGATCTGAGGTTTAATGCCAGCTTGAGCTATGAGGCCCTGCCCCTCCCCCAATATATATATGTGAGTGATTTGATTTGAAATAAAAAAATGCTGAAACCATTGATAGGGAAATGATATTAAGAGTTAAGACTGTGTTATATGTGGCCCTGTGAGAGCTAATTTGAAAACTCAGAAGAAATGTATTACCCTACAACATATAAATTATGTGAATTGATGTTTAAAGATGTTAAAACTTAAATCAATTCATTCAGAGAATATAGGTGACTATGTATTTGTTAATTAGGAACTAGCTCATAATATCAGTATTTACAAGTAATTCAGTAGTTGATTGTAGAAACAACTCCAGTATCCACCAGCTGATGAATGGATAAACAAAATATTATGCCTCTATATAGTGACATTTCAGTCATAAAAAGGAATGAAATCCTAGTAGATATTATAGCATGGTTGGACCTTAAAAATACTATGCTGAATAGAAAAAGCCAGATACAGAGGGCTATATGATTCCAATTGTATGAAGTATCTAGAATTTCCATTGCTCTAACAAAATATTTGAAATGAGATAATATGTAAAGAAGAGAAGTTTGGAGGGGTTAGGGGCTGGAAAAAAGGTGTATTTAGCTTATTATTTTGGACTGCCAAAGTCCAAGATTAATAGGTCCCATTGGGTTGTCTTCTGTTCAGGACACCCTTGGGTAAGGTAAAAAACAGCAGGAGTGCAGGCGGGGGTCAGAGATCACATGGTAAGACAGGAAGCCAGAGAAGGATTTAGGGGCCAGGCTTGCACTTTTATAACAGTCTGCTCTTTGGAGAACTGATTCACAGTGTGAGACTAGCATTAATCCTTTCTGAGGACAATATTGTCAGTGACCTGTTTACCTTGTACTAACCCCTACCACTGCCCAACATTGCTCCCTTGAGGATGAAGCTTTAACACATGAACCAGTGGGGACACACTTGAAACATTTCCAAGCCACAGCATGTGTTCTTTAAAAATTGGCAAAAATCTTACAACTTTTTCTGTGTGAGTAGCAGGTGCTCTTGGGTTAGATTTATACTCCTCCTGGTGTCTGGGGATTTAACTATAATTATGGGTCTGGAAGCAGTGAAGGATGGTAGTGGAGTGGTCTGGAGAAGGTTATATATTCTCCTTTAAAGTGACTTTCTAAGGCAAAGTCATTATAAAGACTTCAGAATTGTGAGGCCAGTTTTCTCATGCAGGAGATTAAGGTAGGTTTTGCTATCAAAGGAGGCCTCATAGTGTTTAGAGTGAGGGTACCCAGATTAATGAAAATACTTAAATGTTCAGTACCAATTACCTGGATACTTCTTCAGATTCAGTGCCTCAATTTTGACGTGACAGACCTGGTAGTATTTTGTGAATTCAGTTTGCATTTTAATTCATCTGTCAAGGCTTACATTGAGTTTGCTTTTCAGAAATCTTAGCCCTGTGTCTATAGGAGTTAAGAAACTCTTTTGGGGCATTGAGCAATTTTTCTTGGTTCTCATAGTTTTGCTCAGGGCACTTAAATCCTGAGCTTGTTACAGCCTGTTTTATAAATTTTCCAGTGCAGGCAGAAGCAGTAGCCCTTTATATAGTCCTGGGACTTTGTTTTTATCATGTGGTCCATTGAAACAGCTATTTAGTCTGGCACGTCTTTGCTGAGGCTTCAAAGCAACTAAGGGTGATAATTGAAGTAACTTTTACCATTGAATTCCAAGACTGTTAATATTCTTGACAATTGAAGTAAATTGAAAACAATTACTTTATTGTCTTCAATTCTAAGGAAGTGAACTACTACCAAATTTCTGTCTTTTGTAAAAAAAATCTATCTATGTATGTATGTATGTATGTATGTATCTATCTATTCAGTACAGGATCTCACTATGTAAGTCGCACTCGTAGTTATCTTCCTGCCTCAACCTCTCCAGCTTTGGCATTACAGGTATGCCAGTTTTGGTGGCCTTCATGGCACACCTGGGGTTCTGGGCCTGGCGTGGCATACCCAAATTTCCTTCTTTAGGGCTGTGTTGTTCTCCCCCCCCTTATGAGCTAGCTAGCTTGCTTGTGCGCTCTCTCTCTCTCTCTCTCTCTCTCTCGCTCTCTCGCTCTCTCGCTCTCTCGCTCTCCCTCCCTCCCTCCCTCTCTCTCTCCCTCTCTCCCTCCCTCTCCTTCCTCTCCTTCCTTCTTTCCTTCCTTCCTTCCTTCCTTCCTTCCTTCCTTCCTTCTTTCCTTCTTTCCTTCTTTCCTTCCTTTTTTTTTTGTTCCAGGACTCTTAACTCAGGACCTTGTGCTTGCCAAGCAGGCACTGTGCTACTGAGCTATACTCCCAGCCTGAGTTATCTTTTTTACTGGAATTATGAGTATGATAGTAGCAGGATATGGTCAGGAAGAGAAAATGCTACTGTATAAACTCTGAACACAAAAGATTAGTGTAAAACTACAAACTCATATGAATTGTAGAAGGGCCAAGGCTACAAAAGTCATCAAATTCATTTGATGAAATGAAAGAGAAAGAATCAAATTAATTTTGTTGATGTAAAACTTCACTATTAAATTTTGGCAAAAGATTGTGAATTTGAAAATGATTGTGCATGTAAATTTTGAATATTAGGAGTTACTCTCTATGTTCCAGTGTCTTGCTTTGCTTATCTTTTTCTTCTTTAAAAATAATATATTGAGAAGACAGTGATTCTTGGGGTCAGTATTTGAATTCTGGACTTGCTGGCCACTGGTATTTTAGTACTTTTTATCATTTTTTTATTGATGATAGTTTTCCTCACAATCAAGAGGGATAAATTTGATGTATGTTAACACTTACTTTTTAGTAAGAATTTTATAAATGGTAGTTTCAAATCTTCCTAGTTTATAGCCAGTTGCAAATGACTTCCTCAGTGTTTTTGCTTTTTGAAGTGTGTGAATATTTTACTGGCAGAGTTTCAAGTGTTGGAGCAGAGATAGTTTTTGAGTAAGTGGTCATTAAATTCTGTTTCCTTTTTATTTATCTTTGTGTGGTTTTTCTCATAGGAAGAAATTGAAAGGCACATTCGGGGAGACCTTGGTTTTGTAACTTGGGGGAGAAACAGATGGCTTAGTGTTCCTCTACTTTGGTGTTAGGAGTCCAAGTGGAAAGTTTCAGCTATTCTGTGTGCTCTGAACAGAGCTGGGACTTTAATATTCTAGAGATCAGCTGTTTCTCTTAATTTGAAACTTTGGCTGTTTTTAATTTACCTTTCATTCTTGAAATATTTATTCATGTCTTAATATTGCAGATAAGTTAAACTATAAGTCTCTTTCTTTCATAATGTAGCAACTCATATATTAATGTGAAGACTTCAAGTTTGTAATTGAAATAATGTAGTTCTTAACTCTTCTTGTTTTTAACCTTTTTGCCATTTAACTAGTTTTAAAAGTTAGAAAATTTTACAGATAAAAATTCATAGTAGACTTTAATATGATGTTTGATGGGAAAATAATAAATAATATATATTTTTTTAAGGTCTTATGGAAGTGTCTTTAAAGCAATCCACAAAGAATCTGGTCAAGTTGTTGCAATTAAACAAGTACCAGTTGAGTCAGATCTTCAGGAAATAATCAAAGAAATTTCCATAATGCAACAATGTGACAGGTATGAAGAGATTTTCTTTGTTTATCTCCATTTTGATAAATTTTACTGTTAATGTAATGAATTTTCATCATCTGTTTATTTTTTTCTTGACTTCTTATTGAAAGTGAGACTATCCTTTAGGAAAGGTAAGGATAGCTTTGTAGAGTCTTTTGGATGTGTAGTTCTTTTCAAATGTTGTCAGAGTATCATATTACCAGTGACCTACTTGTCATTTCTCTCCGTCTCTTTACTCTCTCATCCCTCCATTTTTGCACCAAATCACCTTTTCCTTCTTGTTTCATATCACATTAGCCCATGCATCAGTCAGCACTATAACTTGACACATCAGAACTGTTTGCATATGTTTATTTTCCTGACTAGACTACCAGCTTCTCAAGAAGGAATACAGAATCTTAGTTCTTTTGGTGTTTCTAGATCTCAGAACATAGCAGGTGTTGAGTAAATGTTCATTAAATGAATTATATTTACATAAAATGTGATTATTTTTAATTATTAAAAACAATGTTAAATGGCACACAACAAAAAATGATTTTTGTCTATAGCTCTGTCCTAAAAATAGGATGGTTTGAAAATTTTCTTCACCATGTGTTCCTTGTTATAATATCAAGCCTGGTGTCTATATTCCATACAGGAAGAAAGTAAAAAAGCAGGAAAGAGCTTTCTCAGAAATGCTTGGCTAATGTCTTTGTTAGAATTATCTTACGCTTAGAGTTGGGGGCTTAAAGGAAGTTTAGGGTACATTGTTACCACTAATCACATCAGATCCTTGTTAATAAAAAAATCCATGAGATATTTTGTCTCCTGATGGTGCATAAAATCTATACAAATTGGCCCAGATTTATGATTAATTTAGGATTTGTTTTAGGACTTTTTAACCTTACAGTGGTGCAAAATTAGTATGCATTCAGTAGAAACTGTACATTGAATTTTTAAAAAAATCATTTTCTGAACTGTGGAACAAAGCATCATTCCTACTTTTCTTGCAGGAGTAGGAATGATAGAGTTTCACTATATAGTCCAGGCTGTCCTTAAACGTACTCTGTAGCCCTGGTAGCTACCTTGAATTTGCAATGTTCCTCCTGCCTGTTCTCTCAAGTGCTGAGACTAAAAGCTTGAGGCCCCTGGCCTGGCTGAAGCAATGCTTTTTATTTTTATTTTTTATTTTTATTTTATGGTGGAACCAGGGATTGAACTCAGGCCTGTGTGCTTGCCAGGCAAGCACTTATTCTACTGAGCCATCTCCCTGGCCCCAGCAATGCTTTTTAAATACTAGGCAGCAACAGTGAGCTGTAGCTCCTTGTTATCCATATAATTACAAGGGTAAACAACTGATGTTCTATATTGTATTGGGTCACTAAGCTGTGATATTTGGCAGGTTAGCTGTTAAAATGCTTCTTTTGACTTTTATATGGTATTTTCAACTTACGAGGTTGTTTTGGATGTAATCTTTGTATAAATTAAAGAGCATCTATATATTTCAAGTTCTTTGGCTAATGAAATGACTGGGCAATTTTAGACTAACTTCACTGGACCTGTTCAGTTTTGCTTGGAATATTTAGATTATGTTACATGTTTTCTATAAAAAGTTGGCATAAATTGACATTCAAATAGTAATAGAAAAATTAGTAAATTCCTTATCTCACAAATCAAACTATGTAATTTTGCAAATGTTTCCCAGACTTTGGTATTAATTTGGTAACTTAATGAGAACCAATTCTATCAGTGAGCTATATTCCTAGCTTTCTATTTAGTTTTTCAACAACAAAATTGAGAATCATCTTTATTCTTCTTTTTTTTTTTTTTTTTAATGTATTTAGTACAGGTTCTACAGGGTCTCACTACGTAGATCAGACTCGTGGTGATCCTCCTGTTTTCAACCTCCCAAGTACTGGGATTACATGCGCGCACCACCACACCCAGTCTCAGTTGGCTCAGCCTGCCCTGGGAGAGGGGGCGATGGTATGCCAGGGATAGAACCCCAGCTGCTATGCTCTGCCTAAGCAGGCACCTTTACCTTTATTCTTTTTTTCTGCTACTTTTGGTCACTTTTCCTTTTCTTTATTCCTTGAGTGAAGGAATCATACTTTTATTTCTTGGAACCCATTACAAAGCCTCTAACTCCTTACTTTTGGTTGCAAGAATGAGTAGATACAGTACCATAAAGAATAAAGAGAACATTTTAGGTTGATGAACCTCTAGAGAATTCAGGTCATTATTCTTACTACACATTTTAAATTTTTAAAGAAAAATAAAGAATGGCATTGTGGTGTAAGTACCTGTGGGAACTCACCTGCTTTGTTGCATGGTGGCCAGCAACTGGTATAGAGTAGACATTCAGTGAACATTTGTTGAACGTGTAAGTCACGGAATATTAGTGATAGGCTGGACTTTTGTATGTTATGTCATTTAGTGCTTTAAAATTGTGCTTTGTTATGAAGAGGTGCTTTTAGAGCCTTTGTCTTAAAACTGTGAAGAATTGAGCAAAATGAGAAACTTCATTACTGTTTTTTTCTATATATCCCAATAAGTTTTATTTGAATAAAAATCTTCTGTTGCTAATGCATATTTAAAATATATTTCAAGGGGAAAAGTACAGAAAAGGGAACCTAAAGATTTTACATGAATTGTCTAAGATTATGAAACTTGTTAGTGGCTAAGATGAGAGTTTGCACTCTGACTCTAGGGCCAATGTTGAAGAAAACTGTGTCCATGAAAGGATACCCCACAATTCAGTAACTAAATTTTGGAAGCAGTTTATAGGCCTGTCAACATGTGAATGAATAAAGAAAATGTGGTTATACACAGTGGAGTACAACTCAGCCATACAGAATGATAAATTTGAATAATTTGTAAGAAAATCAGTGTACCTTGAGATCATAATATTAAGGAAAATCAGACTCACAAGCATAACTACTGTGTGGTTTCTGGGAAGAGAAAAACTGTGAATAATTTAAAGAGTAGAGTAAAAGTATGAAATAGGGAGCTAGATCCTTTACCGTTGAGAAAGAGAATTAGATGTGGAAGGAGGAGGGAAGTCAAGAGGAAGGAAAAGAATTAAGATGTGTTCTGTACATGTACCAGTTCCCCACAAGGAATGTAATCATTAAGTTTAGCAAAATTTGTTAATAAACATAAAAGAAAGATGTCCGCACATCCAGGTGAAGCACTCCCAAGGCATTCGTAGGAGTGGGGACAAGAGCAGGGCCGCAGTACTTGCGATTGCTTCCACCTAGGTAGTGTTAATGAAACTGAACCACAATTGCCACAGCTCTTTCCTTTCTGACGCTGGTACTCTAGAGAAGGAACCTCTCTTGTCTAAATGTAGAGAAACACATTGTTTTGAATCAGGGCACATGATTATTCACTTATTAACTCATTCAGGAAATGTGTTTTGAGTATCAGAACTTGAGGATAAACCCTCATGTGCTGCTCTCAAGAGATAACAGGATGAATGAATCTCAGGTACTGAAAGGGCTTCCAGGGAAGTAGAAGAGGCTTGGAAAACTGGCAGGCTGGTAGAGCTGTGATGGGAAAAATATGGAGATTTGTCCACTGTTGGAGATTCGAGCAAAGCTTCCCCAGGGAGGTCATAATCGTACTGAGCTGTAATGGATGAATTGGATTCACCAGGCAAAGAGGAAAGATGAGCTGTGTGGTAGGAATAGATCATTTCCAGCTGGCCTGCTTAAAGTGTCACTGAGTACTCCCTGGCTTCTTCTATAACAGCCACTCCCTGTCCCTTCTGTTTGCTCAGGTTTCTGGATCAAATTTCATGTGAACACTTTCTGAGGGGAAAAAGAGTTTGAAACACCATTTGGTGGGGTTAGTGATGAAATTTGGCAATTTATATGAACTTATGTGTATATTTATCTGATTTTGGGCAAGCCAGAATTAAATTGGAATGATTGAGAGTTATATTGGAAACAATTCAGGCTTTGTAGAATATTCACATTGCTTTTATAAAAAAAAATTTGTATCATTCATGTAAAGTTGTTGAATTGCTAGTAAGAGTATAGTAGGATATTGATAAACATTATATAATGAAAATTAGTCATTAGTATTTTCTTTGTAACATGCTTATAAAAGGACTTTGAGAAATAGACCTTTAAGCCTGGTGTGGTAGTGCACCCCTGTAATCCCAGGACTTGGGAGGCTGAGACAAGAGGTTTGCTGTGAGTTTGAGGCCATCCTGGGCTGCGAAGTGAGTTTTGCACCAGCCTGAAATGCATAGCAAAACTTGTTTTCTTTTTTTTTTTTTAAAGTACCTTTAGCAGTATCTGGCTTTACTAAATGAAATTTAAGTTAAAAAAATTACCATTTTTTATGTTTGTAGTGTTTTTATTAGTCCTTTTAATTATGCAAATTTTAAAGTAGTTTTTTTTCATAATTTTATTGATAAACAGCAATGAGACAGTTTCAAATCAAATCGGTAGGACAGTTTCAATAACTAACACTGCATATATTCTTCTTAGTGGTTAATTGCTGTACAAAATGTGGACTTGAGATCCTATTTACAAACACCATGAGAACAAATCATTCTATTCATTAAGAGAATGTAACTATATATCTATCCTAACCACTTTGAATACACAGATACAAAATGGACATTCATCTGTATACCCTTTTTTTGTTAAGTTCTGTTATTTGAATATTATAGGTGTGTAAACTCAGCAAAATATTCTAAAAGAGTCCAGTAGCCCATAATAGCATTGGGTCTTCTGTTTAACTGGCAATGTCAGAAATTGTTGACCTGAGTCCCCCACAGCTCAACATAACAGCATGGCTTTACTTCCTATATTTTGTCTTCATACTTTTCTACTGGATGGTTAAGACCAAGGTAAAGCAGGACCTATGCAACAAGAGTTGTAGCAAGTTTCTTAGCATTTTTAAAGAATATAATATGCTTAGCCAGGCACAGTGGCACAATGATTAATCCCATCTATTTGAGAGGCTGAGGCAGGAAGATTGAGAATTCTAGAGCAGTGTGGGCAGTTTATTCA